TGCCTCCAAAGCTCATCCAGAATCCACCCACATTTCTCTGTTTCCACTGCTGCCACCCTGTTCCCAAGGCACCACCACCACTCCCTATATCATTATCACGGCCTTCGAATTGGTCTACGACTTCCCCTCTTCATCCCCTACAATCCATTCTCAACATGGTAGCCAGAGCGAACTTGCAAAACATTAATCAGGTTATATCACCTTCTAATTAAAAGCATCTAATTAAAAGCATTCCTTCACAAAGGTGAAGGAATGACGTTCGCAATCCCTTATTGTGCTCCTCTTTGAGAAAAGGAATCCGAACGATTTAGCCTAATTCACAAAGCAATAAAGTCTGCCTCCTATTTACCTGATCCTTCATCATCTTATATCACTTCCCTTCAAGCCACACCAACTTTCTTGCTCTGTGCCATTCAACGCAGCGTGGACCACAGCCGTATCTTGCTCTTTAAAGTTAGATTTAAATTAATGACAACTAAAACGTGAAATTCGGTTCCCAAGTCTTACCAGGCACCTTACAAGTGCTGAGTTGTCACACGGGGTTGCTGGCCACGTGACAAGTGCAGATATAGAACATTTCCATCACTACAGAAAAGCTTGGACAGCGCTGTTTGAGCTGTTCCTTGGATGGGGAAAGTCTGGTCCTGCCTTATGGCGTTGGCATTCACTGTTACCTCTGCGCGAAGTGCCCTTCCCCCAGCAATTCATTCCCACGGCTGGATCCACACATCGGCTTCAATGGGAGGTTCCCCCACAAGCACCGATCTAAAGAAGCCACCGTTTAGTTACTCCCAAGCACACATGAACCAATTTAATTCTGCACAGCATTTACCACTGGCTAATGCTCTTCTTGTTTATTTGGGTTTGTCTGTTTATTGCTCAACTCCACATGCCTCCTCACGCCAAAGCAAACTTCCAAGATCAGGGACCTTGTCCGTCTGGCTCACAGCAGTCCAGCGCCCGACACACCTGCCCAATTAGTATTAACTGACTGTTAGGCCCATGCCGTTCATATTTCCTTTGAAATCACCTTTTCTCCACCTTCCCTGCCACCACCCAGCCTGGGCCTTCATGCAGGCCACCCCGACGGCACTACAAACAGAATCCTGCCTCTGCCCTGCCTCGAGCCTGCAAACACCTGCAGGTGAATGTTAGTTCTCCTCCTGTCAAATCAATTCCCTGTCCCTGTCCATTCTGGCTCCAAACGGCCTCCGTGTCCCCAAAGGTGGCAATGCGCTTGTTCCTACCTCGGCGCTGCTGTCAAGTCTCTCCCTCTGCCTGGAGCACCCTCCCCGTTTCTCGGTGAGGCTGCACCTTCTCCTGTCTCCCAGGTGTGGCCCAGGTGGGGGTGCTCTGCAGACACTGGCCCCTCCTCCAGCCTCCTCCAGCACTTCCTATCTGCAGCCCGGCTTTGGCACTCACACACGCACAGAGGACAAGACGTTCCACCTTCCACGTACACACACACAGATCATCCCCGAGATGACTCCTAAGAGCAATGCTTCTCAAGCTTTACTGAGGGGCAGAGTCACCTGGAGAGTTCATAAAGGGCACACAGGTCAAGGCTTATGGGAGCAGGATAAGATCGGGCCTCTGTCCTTTTCCCACATTCCCTGGGTGACTCAGAGACCCACCAAAATATAAGCTGCACTGTTTTTTTTTTTAAATTTATTTTATTGAAGTATAGTTGATTTACAGTGTTGTGTTAATTTCTGCCATACAGCAAAGTGATTCAGTTATACATATATAAACATCCTGTTTCCTATTCTTTTTCCATGATGGGTTATCACAGGATATTGGATATAGTTCCCTGTGCTCTACAGTAGGACCTTGTTGTTTGTCCATTCTATATATAATAGTTTGCATCTGCGAATCCCCAAACTCCCCCTCCATCCCTCCCTCATCCCTCTCCCCTTTGGCAACCACAAGTCTGTTCTCTACGTCTATGCATCTGTTTCCGTTTCATAGATAGGTTCATTTGTGTCCTATTTTAGATTCCACATATAAATGATATCATATGGTATCTGTCTTTCTTTTCCTGACTTGCTTCACTTAGTATGATAATCTCTAGGTCCATCCATGTTGCTGCAAATGGCATTATTTCATTCTTTTTTATGGCTGAGTAGTATTCCATTGTATATATGTACCACACACCTTCTTTATCCATTCATCTGTCGATGGGCATTTAGGTTTCCATGTCTTGGCTACTGTAAATAGTGAGCTACACTGATTTACAACATCAGATCTTCAACAGGAATGGTTCAAGCCTTGTCCATTTCCACCAATCGGGAACACCTGGGAAGGGCCCGACTTGGTTAACGACCTTCTCTGACACAAACTTGTTCTCCTTCAAGTATTGAAAGCTACCCCCTGGGGCAGGCTGAAAAATGGCCCCTCCAAATGGAGCCACATCTTAATCCCTGGAGCCTACAACTGTCACCTTATATGGCAAAAAGGGACTTGCCAGGTGTAATTAAACTAAGGATTTGGGGATGAGAAGGTTTTGCTGGATTATCCGGACGGGCCCTAACTATAATCACAAGGGTCCTTATAAGAAAGAGACAAGGTCAAAGAGGGAAGAAAAGCCAATGTGAAGCCAGAAACGGGGAGAAAAGGTAACAGGATGTGCAGCCATGAGCCACGGAAGGAGCTTTTACAAGATGCAAAAGGAAAGAAACGGATTCCCCCCAGATCCCCCAGAAGGAGCCAGCCCTGGGACACTGACTTTAACCTCGTGACTCATCTCAGACTTCAGACCTTCAGATCTACGGAAGGGGGATGCGTTCTTTTAAGCTACTACGTTGGTGGCAATAGGAAACTAATTCACTTCCTTTTCTGTAAGCATCCTGATTTTCTGCTTAACTCATTATTGAAAGATACAAGAAGCTCCATTCAGACAGGGCTGGCTTGCTTCGTTCATCTCTGTGTCCACAAGGCCTAGCTCAGGGTCTGCCATGCACATCCTCAAGGAAGGCCGATATTCCAAGTTGGAATTTGGGAACCTTCCCCGATGCGCCTGGCAGCCTAACCCCATTGGTGTTTCCAATACGGGAAATACATGAAGTTCAGAAATAGGTCACCAAGCTTGAGCATCTTGGGGAAGAACTGCTGTTGTATTCTGACTCGAGGAAACCTAGGCAGATACACTCTTCTTCTTAGACTCTTATTCTCCTGAAAAGTGTGTGGCTTAGAGCTGTGCTGTCCAATATGGTAGCCACTAGGCACATATAAGGATTTAAATATAAATAACAATTAAAATGAAGACCCAGCCTCTCAGTCACACGAGCCACAACTCAAGCGCTCACTAGCCACATGTTAGTGGCTACGGTATTGGATGGCACAAACAGAGACCATTTCCACCATCGCAGAAAGTTCTACTGGGCTATACTGTCTGACGGCATCTCTCCAAACACGCTTGGCTCCAGCTCCAGACCCCGAACTAGAAAACCTAAGGGGGAGAGAGATGCAGCCACCACACCCCATTCTACCCTGGAATTCATTCTTGAGCGTGTGTCCTAAGACACACAGCTTGGAGTGGTGTCCAGAGATTTTCGTCCAAGTCTGATTCTTTGTTAAAAAGACTCTTATTGTTGGAAAGTGAGAAGGAGAAGTAGCAGCTGAGGAAACTGCAAACGAGAGATCGGACCCATGCAGGGGTGAGGTGGGGAGGACGGAGATTAGAGAGGGAAGAAGCAGGGGAAAGTAAGGGGAGCAGCACGTAGGAAATGGACTCTAGTGATGTGATCACGAGCAGAAAATTCAAATGTCGAAAAGGGGGCCTCCCTGGAGATCTGAAAGCACGTAAAGGAACAGCCAGCCTGCAGAGGGGCTGGACCACTGCTCAGAGAAGGGTCTGCAGGACAGACCTTCATCTGCCGTGGATACCCTGGTATCCACTCACCATCCCCATAGGGCAGCAACAGTGTCGGGGGAGACATGGGGAGAGGAAATCAACTGAATGCAAAAACACAGAACTTTTCCAAACAGAAAATTAAAAACTGGAAAGTGGGGGGCTTCCCTGGTGGTGCAGCGGCTAAGAATCCACCTGCCAATGCAGGGGACACAGATTTGAGCCCTGGTCCAGGAAGATCCCACATGAGGCGGAGCAACGAAGCCCGTGCACCACAACTACTGAGCCTGCGCTCTAGAGGCCGCGAGCCACAACTACTGAGCCCACGTGCCTAGAGCCCATGCTCCGCAACAAGAGAAGCCACCGCAATGAGAAGCCCACACGCCGCAACGAAGAGTAGCCCCCGCTCGCCGCAACTAGAAAAAGCCCGTGCACAGCAACGAAGACCCAACTCAGCCGAAAAATAAATAAATAAATTTATATTTAAAAAAAACTGGAAAGTGCACAGTGCTGCCGAGGCTATGGGTAAATGGGCACTCGTAGATGTAGCTGGTGGAAGGATAAATAGATCTGCCTCGCTGGAGGCTGTCTGGCACTTTCTATCAAATTTACAAACACACTCTTTGCTCCAGGCTTTCAACTTCAAGAACGGATCCTTCCCTGACACTCCCCCGTGTGCAGAACGATGGACACACAGGGTATCCACAGCGGGTAGAGGTAACAGGAAAAGATGAGAAGCAGCCCATACGCCCATCCGTGAAATGAGTCAGGAAGGTATTAAAAAAAACGAGGACACTCCTTCTATTGACTAAACTCCACGATATACTGTTACAGGGTGTAAAGCAGCAGCAGCAGCAAGGTGAAGAAGAGAGGAAGCCAGCACAGGTGTGAAGGGAAATAAAGGCACACGCACAGTCGTAAATCTGCACCGTCTCCTCTACACCCACAAGAAACTGGTAACTTGCTCACCTCTGGGGAAGGGAATTAAGAGGCAGAGGACAAAGGGTGGGAGGCAGGCCAACGTTCACTCTCTATTTTTTAGTGCCTAATAAATGACAGAATTCATCTATATATGACCTATTCAGTACGAGTAAAATTAACAAAGATACGCTTCTGGATATGTACCCTCGACAAAGAGTTTAAAACTTACCGCATGAACACCCTTCTGCATGGATGCTACAACCTCAGTGGGAAGACAGCACCTGCCAGGTGAGTGGGCCCAGGGGACCAGCTGCACAGCAGCCTCGAGCCCCCGGGTGCCACGGGCGCCTCTGTCCCCTCGCCCGGTAGCAGGTGTCACCTCCCCTGTGGTCCCGGGCCTCCGAGGAGGAGTTCCCAAAGCCCTGGCCCTCAGCAAAGCCGGGCTGTGTTCCAGCCTTGGAAATGATCAGGAATAGCCCTGCTCCTGCCTAAAGCCCAGCTTCTGGGTCCATTTCCGACCGGGGTGCCACCCCGCCCCAGGGCGCCCACTGCCCGGGCAGTGATACCCCGCCAGCCTCTCACACTAGGGGAGCAAATGCAAGCGAGTTGCACGGCTGTGTCTGATAATCACTATGGACACCAGCCTGAATCAGGTCTGTGTCCAATTAGCCACGCCTGCAACACCACCATAGCAACGAAGGTAATATTATTGTTCCACGAAGAGAAAATGAAACACACACACACACACACACACACACACAGATGTGTTGTCCAACAGCCTCCAAAGCCACAGACGTAACACTTCTCCACGCCCTACAACTTGTGCCTCTCACTTCCCCGAGACGATGCAGCTTCTCTGACGGGAAGTCACAGGCTCGGGCAATTACCTCTTCACACCCTCCACGCCGTGTGCCCTTCACAGGGTTGCACTCCTCCCTCTGCCCTCTTCCTGCTTGAGACAGAACGGCCTCCAGGTGAAGCTCCAAGCTGCCCTCGGCTGGCTGGCTGGCTGCTTTCTCCAGGCCAGACCCAAGCTGGGCACTGGAGTTTTGGTGGCTGCAGGCATGAACCACACACCAATCTTGAGACACAAATGTGGAAAGCATTAACCCAAATGGAAAGACATAAATCAGGAGCGGAGCTACGGCACGGAGGAAAACAGCTCTGCTCGGAGAGCCCGGGCCGTTGCACAAGAGCAGCGTTGAGTCACCCTCCAGCAGAGGGAGGGGAGCCCCGGTGGGACTGGTGGGTGGATGAGCCCGGGGTGGGGGTGGGGGGGAGCAGTGCAAAAGCACAGCTGTAAGTTCATCACCAACCACACTTCATCAGCAGCCTGGGGAGAGGGGGGCCAAATGTCACCTCCCCTCCCCAACTCAGGAAGTGTTTCAAAATGTGTCCTCTCCGGAGAAGACAGCAGCAAGGAGTCTTCCTAACAGCAAACCAGTCACCCTTTACAGCCTGCAGCTGTGTCCCGGGGAAGCCAATCCCAGGCCCTCTTGAAAGAAGGTCTGCCTTATCCTTCTTTGCTTCTCCCTGGCCATGAGCCATGCTGTTTTGCGGTCCTCAAGTCTAGGTGCCCATCGTGGGCACACAACGCTTGCTCTACCTGCTTGCCCATCACTACCGTTTCATATCTTTTCTTCCTTTCCTTCTTCCAAACACCCCATACTCCACACAAGCTGCTGGGGACAAGACAAACCTATCAGCTTCCCCATCCCTGCTCCCTGGGGAGAACCTCCCAGCTTCCTGTAAGACACCGCCTCACCCACCAACTCCTCTGCCAAGACTGATTCCCAACCTTCAAGTTCTAAGCACCTGCTCCGGGGCGAGGCCCTGCTGTCCCTGGGTGTGGCAGTGGGGGAGGAGGAGGTCCAAAGAGATAACGCAGCTGGAGAGCAGAGCAGCAGGAGGTCTGAGCCCTGGGGGCTCTAGAAACTACCATGGCAATGCCCTAGCTTTCAGCAGGACCCTCCCCGTCTCCAGGCCATCTTCATCTTGCTCTGAGAGGTTGCATTTAGAGATCAATGGGGTCCCTTAGACTCTGACAACGCTACGTAATGTAGTGGAACTTACCCCCCCCCCCCCCGTGAGTACAGGCACACAACAGCCTGAGAGACGGGTAAACGACCCAGTTTTGTTGGAAGGGGACAAGTGATGGAGTAAAGAGCAGAGCAGTGTAAAGGGGTGGGCATGACAAGGAGAGCAAGAGAGTCAGAAGAGATCAAAGAGTGGGTTAGTTTCTGGCGGCTCTGTACCAAATTATCACGAACTACGAAGCTTAAAGTCACAACACAAATGTATTGTCTTCCTGTTCTGGAGTCCGAAGTCTAAAAAGGGGTCTCACTGGGCTACAGTCAAGGTATTAGCAGGGCTGGTTCCTTCGAGAGGCCCTGGAAGAGAATCCGCTTCCCTGCCTCGTTCAGCTCCTTGAGGCTGCCCGCGAGTCCCTGGCTCGTGGCCCCCTCCTCACATCCTCAACCTCTTGCTTTTGCTGTCACATCTACTCCTGACCTGACCCTCCTGCCTCCCTCTTATCAGGACTCTCTGTCCGTACACTGGACCCACCTGACTAATCCAAAATCACCTCCTCATCTCAAGAGCCTTAATTTAATCACACCTGCAAAATGCTGTTTGCCTCGTAAGGTAACATCCACAGGCTGTGTGGCTTAGGACATGGACATCTCTGGGGGACCATTACTCAGCCCGCCAAAGGGATTAGCCACGTGGGCTGCCAAGGCCCTAAGGAGGAAGCATGCCTGGAACACCCTCAGGAACGCCAGAGAGGCCGGTGTGCAGCAGAGGGATGAGTGAGGTGCAGGGAAGGAGAGGCCCCCAAGGTCAGGGAGGTCACAGGCCCGACCATGTCGCACCTTGTCAGCTGCGGTGAGGGCTTCTTCGGCTTTTACTCTGCCATCATGGGGCCCATCAGGATGTTCTGAGGAGCAGCGTGATACGATCGGACTTATTATTTGAAAAGAACAGACTGGGGTCTGGCAGGGCCGTCAGGAGGCAACTGCACTAGTTCAAGGGCACAGGGCTGGTGGCTGTGGCTCGGAGCAAGATGACAGCAGTGGGGGTGGTGACGAGTGGTTGGATTTTTTAAAAAATCAATTTGGAAGGAGAAGCCCACATGTTTACCTGACACACTGAACATGGGACGTGAGAGAAAAGGCGGTGGGGGGGGGTGTCAAGGTTTTTGGCCACAGCAGCTGGAGGGACGGACTTCCCATTTACTGAGCTGGACAGGCTGCAGGTGGCGTGATGCTTGGACAGGTTGAACAGCAATGCCAACTGGATATGGGTCAGGAGGTCAAGGGCAAAACTGAGCAAAGACTGGAAATGGACTTGTCGACCACAGCTTAAAGGCTCTCACTGTGGCAGGCATGGGGGCGGCGGGGGTGCTGCCAGGGGTCTGGGCTGGGTCCAACCACCAGGTTGAGAACTGGTGTCTGGACTTGACCCTGAGAGTAATGGGACGCGCCTGGGCCCCACGGCAGCCCGGGGTGTGGAGTCAGCCAGGATGACCCGGATTAATTCTGTGGGTCGGGTACCAGTTGCAAGACAAGAAGGCAGAGGCTGAGTCAGCAGGGATTGCGTCTCAGCCCTCGATTGCTCGCTCAATCGGGCGTTTTTCTACTTCTCACAGTCCAGAGGGTGGGAATCCCAGTTGTGGGGAAGGTCGGGGGAGCGGGGCGGGATTCAGGAATGGGGTCAAACGCCAGGCTCCAGGATCCTTGGCTGTGGACAGCTCACCTCACTACCCAGTCGGTCTCCGCCTGGCCCTCGAGGGCACTCACTGTCCTGCCCATGAGTCCCGGAAAGCCTTCCTGTGTCCAAGCTGCTGGACGGTATCAGCGTGGTCCTACCTGAGGGGCCCAGTAAATCAGAAGGACAAAGCAGGTCAAGGGCAGGTGGCCAGACTGTGGGGCGCCTCCCAGGGGACAATGTGCTGAAACATCTATTGCAAGCTGGATTCCCACGGCCCAACGGCACAAGCCAAGCCCTTTCTGGGCACTTTCATCCATCCATCCATTCATTCATTCGACAAATATTTAGTGAGGACCTGCCCAGGGTCAGGCACTGCTTCTAGACATTTGGGGCACGGCAGTGATCAAATAAAAGGGGAAGAAACCCCTGCGTTTGTGGAGCATTGATTTCAGCAAGGGGGTAAGGGGAGCACACAATAAAAACAATAAATAAGTAAAGTATAAAGAGTATTAGAAGGTGATGGAGGAAAAAAAAATAGAAAAAGGGGAACCAGGAGGTCAGGGTAGACTGGGAGGGTGGGCAGCAATTTTAAATAGTTTGAAATGTTACAACTGCTTCCAAGTCACAGCGGACAATCTTTCTCGCTCTTCAGCCCCTTCCTTCCCTCCTTCCCTCCCTTCAACAGTCACTGGATGCTCACCCTAGGGCAGCCCCACGTGCTCCCCGCTCTCATGAAGATGTTTTATTTTACAATTTATTACATTTTATTATACATTTTATTCAAGGAGACAGAAGTTAAGACAGCTAGTAATTCCAGAAGGGTGACAAACGAGCAGAAACTCACCATCTCCCAGGATTCCTGCAAGCACGCCCATCACAATGGGGGATCCTCCCAAGAGTGTCTGATTCTTGGTCCAAGTCCCCAGCCCACTTCCTCCCTCCTACTTCATGTCCCCATCACCACCATGACCTGGATTAGTAGAAAGCACAACTCAGTGGTCTCTCTGGAAGCTGCCCACAGACTGTCCTTACACCTGGCCCGGTCACCATCCCAAAGCATCGACTGGTTTTAGGGCCTCTGGATGAACTTGTCTGTTCCACGTTTCAGACTCAACATCTTCTCGAGGAGCACCAGCCCCCCCCAATACCCCCCAAGGGGGCCCTGCCAACCCTGCCCTCCCCTCCGCTCTGAGCACCTCTGTCGGGCAGGTTCTGATTCCTCTCGCCCGGCTGTGCTCACTACCGGGGCCACGGCGGCCAGGGAGCAGAGGATGACAGGGGAGGATGTCACATGTGGGCTGTCTGGGGGCAAAAGGCGTTTGGCAGCTCACGCCTCTGACCACAACGTGCAACTCTCTTATCAGTGGCGCTAACCACTGGGGAACTACAAGCGAGCTGAGTACAAAGGCTCTTCCTGTTTGGAGGGAAGTCAAGGCTGGCCCCTGAGGCACATCCCTGACAGTCTTTCGGCGCCTGGACCCTCCCTCTCCTCCCACTCTGCATCCAGCTGTGAGCCAGCTGGACCAGTGCTGGCCCCAGGCCCGGGTGGACGACACAGCCACCAATGGGGAGAAGCAGCCACCAGGAGCTGGCCCAGCCACTGTCTCTCTCCCTCTGCCCTGCCACAGACCCTCCAGTCTTATTTCCCTCTAAAACTGGGGGGCACTGGAGAAGATGGGGCACCATCACTTTTCCTTCCTGCCGTGTTACTGAGTCTCCCCTAAATGGCTCAGCTAGACCAGGACTCAATCCACAGACCACAATGATGGCACTCAGCAGAGATGCTCTGAGCTCTCCACACCTCACAGCTGCACAGAGCTTCGGGGGCTCCACGGCCCTCTGTGGGAGGCCGGTACAGAATCGGTACAGCAACCAGTGGGTCAGATCACGGGCTCTGGAAAGAGATGGTCTGGGTACAAACCCTGTCGCTGACTGGGTGACCCTGAAGAAATGATTGCACTTCTCTGTGACTCAGTTTCCCCATAGGTAAAATGGGCCTGGTAGTATGAGTACATAAAGATACAGCATCTAGAACGGCACCTGAAAAAATAGCAAGTGCTACATAAATGCTGTCCAGTATTATTAAATATTCTTGATTGGACAGGTCTGTTTTAAAATAAACTAACCACGGGAC